AATAAACACCAACTTAATCACCAACGCAGTGGCATCGAACGAGCCCCCAAAAATAATCGGTAAAAAGTAGCTTTTCGCAAATATATGTGTGTATATACATATATTGTCATTATTATCACATTGTCGTAAAAATTCGGCTACGGTTGAACAAAGCACGGCTGAACTAAACCAGTTTGATGCACCTCGTCCGCCAACTAACTACACAAAGAAAGTTAAAATTAAAGCACGAAAGAAGTGCGGAAGATTTTAGCTGTTATGCCAGCACTCTACTGGTTCAAGTAATTAAACGATATTAAATGTTATAGCCCACATATACTAAATGGTGCGAGTGACGGGCCCTTTTGGCCACTTGCCATTGTTTTTCTCTCGCCCCAGCAATTGACCCGATTAGCAAAAGGGTTCCCACACGATGATGCATGCATTCGGCCCAAAAATCAATAGATACCTGCCGGTGACAGTCCAGTGAGCTCCATGGGAGGGGGTCCTCCCACAAAAACCGAAAACAGAAAGTCCCCATCCTCACTCATTCTGGCTTTTCATTTCACAAGTGCCTGTCTCTGGTTTTGATTCGAAAGAGATTTGTGCTCGAACAAATGTAAATCACACAAAATTCAGTTTAAAGAGGTGGATTCCCGCGGCACAGGTGCAGCGGCAGGCAATTAAACCAAAGGAGTCACACGCTAATTGATGGCTGTGCCACAAAATCAAGTTAGCTGACTCGGCCTGGTCTTCCCCAACGCACTTGCGTCAAGAAGCAAAACGTTAAAAAACAAATACAGAGACTGCTGCCTGCCTACGACTGGCACACAATCTGAGTCATGGTCAGATGCTGTGATACTTTCAAAAAGTGTATAAAAAAAGGTGGATATTTTTCCCAGTTACATGGGGATTTTTGCATGTGAGCGGAATTCTTATTCTGTTCGGCACTTTTGTGCTAATTTAACAAATCGGAAATGCTGCGGTCGTTCCAGCGTGAAGAAGACGTCTCCGATGGCTCTGGGTTTTCTGGGGGATTTGCATAATTCTGCTGGTTATCTGGTTATTTCCTAGGAAACGTTCTATATATTTTCACAATGGTAAGCAATAGCTAAGCGAATGATTTGACAAATTTTTAATGGGCTTTTGGCTCATGCTTTGGGGTTTTCTCTGCCAAACTGGTTTCTCCAAAACTGATAAAAAACTAAACACACTCAGGTTTGCATAATTATTTTAATATGCTCCACTTAACGCCCAGTTTTTTATCCAAAATCGATAAGCTACTGTTTTCAAGAATGTCTTATGGAAATTTGGCCAAAATAATACTTGGTCTTGTCTTGTCAAGGCGAGCCATACGAAATTCTATGGCAATTGGTCTGGCAATTGGTCAAAATGAAGGCCAAGTACTTTCTAGGCGTTAGTTGGGTGTTAGTTGGCAGTTAGTTGCCTCCTGATTGAGAGACATTTGCATTAATTACGATTCAATCGAGCAGCTGCCCATAAAAACAAGTAACAATTTCATTAGTCCAGCTGGCCGGAGTCTGGATCGATTCTAGCTGGATGATGTTTAGTGGCAGATACTAAGAGACTTTCAATGCTTAACGAGGGTGAAAAGTGGCGACTAATTAGCGTCAAGTGTCGGGAATCGCATGTGTTACCGAGCTCTGCTCTGCTGTGCTTTGCTGAGCTCATTTGTTTGCCTTTTTTGCATTTTATGTAATGCAATATTTAATCAACTGCCATTGCATTCTAAATTTAAAAATCTCGCTTTACTTTGCGGCGCGTGCACGAAAATTCCATTGAACTTGAGGCTTTGAAGCTGGGCTGGTGGTTGGGTTCAGTTGGTTGCTTGGAAGTTGGCTTCCACCACCTGTGCAGGAAGTCAAGTTCGCCGCTTAAGTCTTTTGATTATGTCGGAAACGGTGGCGAGCGGCGCTCAAATATGAAATAATGTGCGACGTTCGCATTAAGATCATGTAAATGTTAATGTAAATTTCAGAGTCTACGTGCCAGAGACCAGCCAGTCAATAACGACATAATCCTCTTCTAATGCTCCATTAATCATCAAAGTGCGGCCAAACATATTATCTGGTCTGGGGATTATCTAATATTTCCCGATGACAGCCCCTAATCCGCAATACATTAGCGAACTACTAACTACCGAGAATGGGCAAATACCTGCCAATTGTATAATCGCTCAATCAAAAAGGCCAAGTTCAAACCACACCCTCTATAAAGCATTGTCTTAATGGCAAACCACAAACATATATTGACAACTAAGGCCGGCAGCTCGGAACCAGAAAAAATCTGAGACAAAGGTTCAATGAACGCCACGACGAGTCCAAGGGAGCGCTATTTTTAAGTTCGATATAATTTGATTTGTTTGCATTAATTGAATCGGGGATATCTTTCACCCAGTTGATTCACAAACGGAAGTCCAACAGGCCACACCAGCACTGACTAAGAATTTCTTGCAAATTAAATGACAATGTAAGTCGGGCAGATCTCAGTTCGAGGAGCAAGGCTTGCAATTTAAATTTAGAAAGTAAAAGGTGTACGGGGTGCTCTGTTTGTATAGTATGTACTGTACTGGATACTGGGTACTGGATACTGGCGGACTGACTAAGCGACTCGCCAAACTGATTGCATGTTATTTGCACATTTTCCTTGATTTACGCCGCCGCTAACTACACACGAAATCAATAAAAGTCAATTTTAACGTGCCCATTACAAGTGTAATGCAATAATTACTCGTAGCCAAGAACCATTTGCGACGGTGATTATATAATGCCCTAAAGAAGCGATCGTGAACTCTTTAATTGTTTTTTGATTAGCAGGATTTCCCAATTAAATAAACTAACTGCAATTTGATAGTTATACAGGTAGTAATTTCTTAAAAATAGCTCTTTCATAATGGTCTTAGAATGCGTAATAGAAAAGGTTCTGTTGCTGATATTGCAGCTGATATATCCAACTAAGTAGCATATACTCTTCGCTTACTGTGCAACAAAACTGTGGCGAGAACTAAATGCACATTACCAGCATTCAATCGAATATAATGCCTTTACGCCATAGCAACAATTACGAGTAGAACTGCATAAATTGTATGACCTTTTTGGTCAGCAACGTAACGACGACGCACAATATTTTTTCAGTCTTTTTTCTTGGCTTCTCGCCCCTGTCCCCCTCGGCTTGTGTGATTATTATGTATTATTTGTTTAGTTTTTATTCCAGCGAGCTCGTAAATTATGCAATATTGCAACACATAAATCTAAAGCCGGAGGCTATATTAGAATGCCGGCATCGACATCGACATCGGCATCGGAATCGGCATCGGCAGGTGAAAATCGCACCGTGACTAAACACAATGTCGACGGACCATGTTCGGAGGATGGATGCCACGCCTATTTGGCCAATTAGAATATCTGAAATTCTCAGCCAACTTTAGTATAATTCGCCAAAAGGTACATAAAGGCAAAGTCAAAGGCTTGCGTGTCAATAACATCGAAGGAATTTCTCGTAAAAATTATAACAATCGTTACGCAACTGCCGGCATTTAATTAACAAATCGCAATTTAAATATTCTGGAATTTATTATGCACCTCCACAAATTTAAATATAATTTAAAATTCTTGGTCCGGTTTGACTTGATTTTTTTTTTGTTAACCAATTTGTTTGGTGGCAGTGTTTGCTTTAATTTTCATACATTTTCGATCGCTGGTGAATAAACCAATTAACATGCACAATAATTGTTATAAATAAAAATCAAACGGCTGGCAGTGGCAGTAACCACCAAGGCAGGTTCTAACCGGATGAAAATTTTATTTACCACTTGCCACCGCAAACAAAGTCGCTCTGATCATTAATCACCATTAATACATATTATTATGTAGGAGCATATATAGAACCATGACTAAAAGGCTCAAAGTCTATCGTATTACCGCATATTAATGGGTGTTGAAAAGCGATGTAATAGCCCCCGCTAATTGCCCCACGGATAAACCCAGAAAAGAACAGGGGGCATCGCGATCCGATCCGATCCGAGCCGAGAATCCGATTACTCACGCACCTTGTTTTGGGTTAACATTTTTATATTTAATTAGCGGCGTGTTCGGGGTAATTGGTTGGTTTTCCTTAACCTGCTTCGCAATACGTCATCGCCCGGGCTTGACCTCTCCCCGGGGAATTTGCCCTCTTCCACAAGTCATGACGGCGGAGATTCCAGGGATAACTCAACGTAGCGAAAGTCTGCCAGCCATCCGCAGCCACATGTCACCACTCGAAGACATTGTTGTAATCGCTTTGCCGATGATAATTAAATCTGATCGATTGCTTCCAGCGATTTGAAAGCTTTCGGGCCAGGTCGGGCAGGTCGGGCGAACCCGGTAAATGGTACTGCACATTAGCAACACGCTTCCCGACTTCGTGTTCTCCTCGAACACCTGTCCAGATGATCGGTGCACAGAAAAACCAAACTGCATTCATTTAAAGCTTTTAGCAGCGATCTGGTTTTATGACAATAGATTAAAAATAATTCTAGTCGAGATAGTATAGATTTTTCGAAAGGCTTCTGAGTATTTTGATTTCTTTATAAATATTTTAAATTTTATTTTATTTTTTGACTTAATAACCAATAAAAATAACAATTGGCTAATTAATTAGAAGCACTCTTGAAATTCCTTACTTTCAAAACGAGCTGACCTCGTCAAGCCGATTTCTGGCCGTGTAGATTCCAGCCCCTAGCTCCAGCCAGCTAGCCAGCTAGGGTGGGAGTCTGCAATCGCCGTCTGGGAACTGGAAACTGGGAACAGGGGCCACCACGAGCTGGTGAAGGGCAATCCCACTTAACTTGGCCCGGTCCGGGCTGCAATTGTATGCAAATGAACGCGTGCCGTGTCGAGTGTCGAGAGAGCGTCAAATTGCATAATAATTGCTCGCTCGGATGCTGGCGAAATTATTACCTTCAATGGAGCAGAGGTAGAGGTTCTTCGGATTCGAATTCGGATTCAAGATTCGTTTTCGTACAATATGCAATAGAATTCTTTATTGTAATTTACTCTGGTTTTTGCTGCCGTAGCCTATACATACACATTTATGTATAATGTGTGCACTCGCTGCACTTACTGCATATAATATATATGTTTCTTTAAATATATATATATAATTTATGTATACATATTAGTTATTAATATAATATTTTAGCTTGTGGTTCTTTAAATATGTTTGTTGCTGCTCTTTATGCTCTAGGTACCGCTTTTTCCACGCACACTTCCTAATTACTCTCCACATCTCATCAGATTTCTTTATCAACTAGGTTATCGTAAAGAAATTTGTAATTTACGTTTGCAAAACGAAAGCTTTAACAACTTAATCGAATACGGGTTCTTTTGTTTATGGTTTTCACTAAATATATATATATAGGGATTTATTTATTTATTATTATGGGATTTCGGTTTTATGCGTTTCTTCTTTTTAACGGCGACTAAGACACTTTTTCATTAATTTGATAATTTTGAATTGTTTTGCTTTCCTCGATCGATTCATACACCGTTTAAAGCTACAATTTCAGATTTGTAAGAACTGCCTGAAGTTCTTACAGTCTGTTTTTATGTACAGCAATTAGTATATTGTTTTGGAGGGGGTGTGGGTGATGTGGCGGAATGTTGCACATAGGTGAGCTCGGTTGAATTGGTTTATTTTACTTGAGGGGTGGAGAGGGAGGCTTTAGATTAAATAGACGTACTTAGAATATTTAACAAAAGTTTATACATCAGCTTGGCGTTCTACAACTAAACTTCGATTTCTTCGATTTATAGTTTAAGTTTAAGTTTAGGTTTGTGTTGCGAATCTCTTCGATCGGTTTGATTAATAAATATTTCAACAAATTGCCCGCAGCACGAATCGATAATAGCTATTTAGTCATAGTACATAATCAATATTAATAAAATTAATAATCGTAGTTCATTTACACGCTCTACAGCTACGAGTTAAATTCTGGAAAAACTAAGGTCTAATTATAGTCTGGGGAGTTAGCTTTAGAGCAATTCTTTGAATTTCTGCATTTCCTTTCCGTTTCGTTCTTTTGTTAAGCATTTAACACAAATTAAGTTCAATTAAATTAAATTAGAGGCCTAATTGACTACATCTATTAAAAGTAATTGTCATTAACAGAAGGCTTACAACCTAAATACTTCTATGAAACATATGTACCAACTAAAGACCAACAAAACTTTCTAATCAGGCGTGGCCAAAGTCCAGGGCGCAACTGCAGTCAAGGGAAAAATTGCACAAAAGAAGTGGTCATAGGATTACGGATAATGAAAATCAGGGACGACGCACCAGGGGTAGGCAGTGGAATTCGAGTCTCGCAAATGAATATATCAGATATCAGTACAAAAAATCGCGCTCCAAGGTGGCTTCTCCATCTCCACCTTGTGTTTTCACTTTGGATTGTTATCCAGGCGGTTTTGGAGTTCATAAAATAATAAATAGGAATTTCAAGTACAAAATCAAAGTTTTTGTCCAAATTTTAACTAAATTAATGAAATTAAATAAAAAATAAAAAAGGCCGCCAAACAAATATTTAAAAAACGAAAATAAAACACGGGTGTGTACTACCCCCTTTGAAACCTTTCTAAGCCCGGAGACCCTACTCTCAATCTCATCGCTGTGTGGCTGCCGCCGAAGACGCTCCTGTTCCCGATGTTCCAACTGATCCAGTGGCCGCCCCCGTCAGGTCGTCTCCTTGGAGATCCACGTTGGCGGCACTGGCGTACTGCTAAAACCATGATTGCCGGTTTATGTCGTACGGCTTGGGCATGCCCAACGTGGCCCGCTGATAGGCCGACGGCGGCGGCGGCGGTTGTCCGTATCCGGCTGCTGCCGCCGCCGCCGCTGCCGGCCCGCCCAGCAGACTCTGGTTGAAGATCATCCGCGAGTGGAAGTCGTCGCGCCGCAAGTACTGCTGGTACAACTGCGAGTTGGGGTCCCCAAATGGATAGGCGGCTGCTGCCGCGGCTGCCCGCGTGGAAGGATGTGCCGCCGCCAGGAAGGGATACGATCCCGCTGCCGTATTCAGTGGGTTTTGACTCGAGTCCTTGGGATTACCACCCGGATTGGTGGCTGCTCCGCTATGGGCTGGTGCCGGCGGCATATAGTAAGGATTGGGTGCGTCCCTAAACTGGTCCAGATAACTACTGGCTGCCGCAGCTGCCGACTGATCTCCATACAAGCCCAGTGCTCCGGGTGTGGGGGCGAAATTAAAGGCACTGCCCGGAACCATTCCCGTGGAAGTCTTCAGCGAAATAGCGGCCGCATCGGCCGCCGTCTGGTTGGCGTTGCTCGAACCTGTCGCCGGGGTGGCTCCTGTGCTGGGCACTGGTGAGGATACTCCGCCGGACTTCAGGCCCGCATACAGTTGGAATCCTTGGTGCAGCGCCTGGGCATGTGTGGCAGAGTTGTACTGCGGCATGGTTTGGTGCTGCTGCTGTTGCTGGGCCTGTTGCTGCTGTTGTTGCTGTGCCTGCTGTTGCTGCTGCTGGGCCGTGGCCACTTGTTGCTGAACCTGCGCCTGTTGTTGCTGCTGCTGCTGCTGCTGTTTTGCGGCTGCAGCCGCTGCCTCGGCTTGGATGGTGGCTGCCTTCTTTTTCCTTCCCCTTTTAGCCGGAGCTTTGACCTCGGCGGGGGCCACTTGCGGTTGCTGCTGTTGCTGCTGCGGCTGTTGCTGCTGCTGGTGCGCGGGATTGTTATTGCCGGGCACGTAGTTACCCGGCAGCTGCTGTGCCGGATTCCCGTATGCCGTGGCCGCTGCGCTCGAGGCACTGTACATGTGGGCCGCCGGCGGCATAGACTTGTCGAAGTAGTTGCCGGCGTAGCCCAGCATTGACTCCGTGAGGCTGTGCATCAGAGGGTTGCTGTAGGTCTGGGGCGGAGGCGGCGTGGGCTTGTTGTAGGCAGCCAGGTGGTGAGTCTGGCTGAGGTGGTGCTGATGCGCGGTGGAAGGCAGGTGCATCATGTTGCTGTTGGCATCGCCTGCCGCTGCAGCCCCAGCCGCCTGAGCAGCTGCTGGCTTCTCACCCGCTGACGGCTGCTGCTGCTGAGTGGCGTTGTAGCTATGGTTCATTTGCGTCTGCTGCTGTTGGTAGTTGTGCTGCTGCGGCGGCTGCTGCTGTTGCAGTGCCAGCTTCTGCGCCTGCGTTTGTTGCTGCTGTTGCTGCTGCTGGTATGTCTGGTTGTGGGCCGTTTGTAACTGGGTGAGATGCGGCTGATTCAGCTGTGCCTGTTGCTGGTTAGCCTGTTGCTTGTTGCTGCTGGCCTGAGGAGCTTGTTGTTGCGGCTGCTGCTGTTGTTGCTGCAACTGGCAGCTGCTGTCCTTGCCAAAGTCCTTGGGGAAGCCCATGGCCGCCGCTCTGTTGTACATCTCGAACGCCTTATCGGGAGCTATGTTGCCCAAGGGCTTGCCAAAGGTCATAGAGCCCAAGAAACTGTTGAACATTTGCTGTTGTTTGTTTATCAGGGACTGGGTCTGGTTATGGCTCTGCTGCTGCTGTTGCTGCGGAAGTTGCTGCTGTTGTTGCTGCTGTTGTTGTTGTTGCTGCTGCTGGGTTGCAGGCTCGTCTAGTTTCGCCAACTTGTTAACCGAATTTCCACTGTAATCCATGCCCATCTCCTCGCCAGGTCTCTTCAGAGGGTTGATCAACGTCTCGGTCTTAGGCGGCTGCTGAATCTGCTGCATAAAGGTGGCCATGTCGCTGCCATAGCTCGGCGGCACAATCTTCTGATGCTGCTGCTGTTGTTGTTGCTGCTGGGTGTCCACTGCATCTGCTGCTGCCGCCGCATTGGCTGCTGCATTGGTCGACTGATACTGCTGGTATGTCGGGTATTTCGGTTTCTGCGCCTGTTGGTGCCCCAACACTTGTTGCTGCTGCTGCTGCTGTGCCTGAATCTTCGGCTGTTGCTGCTGCTGCTGCTGCTGCTGGGGCGTCTGCAATTGCTGCTGAGATTGCTGCGTGGCCTGCAACTGCTGCTGTTGTGAGGGCGTCTGCAGGTGCGTCTGCTGCTGTTGGCCCGCCTGCAGCTGCTGCTGTTGTCCAGTTGCCGGTTGCTGTTGTGGCTGCTGCACCTGATTGGCAGGATTCGTAATGCTGGGAGGCAACAGGCTCCGAGTAAGACTCCAGTCGTTGTTCGGCTTGGTAATGGAGGCCGCTGAAGACGCAGAGCTCGGCAAAGGATTGATGAGAGTGGCTGGATTGTACAGAGAACGCTGCTGCTGTTGCTGCTGCTGCTGGTGTTGCTGGTAGCCCTCGTGCGGGGGGGCGTATCCGTTGTTGCTTAGGGCTGCAGATAGATCGAGAGATGAACGTAAAGCAGGACCCACTTTAGAAAGGGAACACTCACCCGTTGATGGCACAGAACCAGATGCAGGTTGAACGGGAGCTACCACTGGAGGCTGCACTTGCTGCTGCTGCTGCTGAGGCTGTTGGTATGGCGATAGCACCGGCTGCTGGTACGGCGAGTGCTGCTGCTCCGCCGGGGACTGGGCCAGCGGAGTGGGAGGTTGGGTGGCGGCCGAGGACGCCGGAGAGTCCACACTGCTCGGCATTGGGCTGTGGGCCTGTTGGTGAGCTGCCGGACTGTGCGACGACTGCTGCGAGGACTGCTGCTGCTGCTGGGCCGCGGGCGGGTGATATGGTGAGTGCTGCTGCTGGTGGTAGGGCGACTGGCTGTGGAAGGGCGAAGGCTGCGTCGACTGGGACTGCTGCGGGGTGGTGTACGGAGAGGTCTGCGGCTGCTGGTACGGCGAGTGCGGATTCGGGGTGCTCGGACTCATCGAGGAGTTGTAGTCCGACTCCTGGGATCGCGGCTGCTTGTACTGGTCGTAGATGGGCAGAGGCGAAGTGGAGGAGTAGGCGGGTGTCTTTGACGCTTCGGAGCCGGAGGGATTGTAGCTGTTGCCACCTCCGTACGGGGAAGTTCCACTCAAATCGGGAGTGGAGACGTTGGGCGACGAGGCAGAGGAGTAGATGTGCTGCGAGTATTGCGGATATGGGGAGTTCATCTCCCTGGGACTGCAGCTCTTGTCCGGACTGCTTTTGGTCGTGGTGTCCTGGTAGAAGCCCACCTTGATGGCGCCGTTCAAGGGGTAGGGCGAGGCAGGCTTGCCCATGTCATCGTTTGGCTTTGGGGAAACCATAATGGGAGACGCTCCAATGGGCGAGGCCCCAATCGGGGAGGTATACGAGCCCGCTGCGTAGGACCCGTATCGCTCGTCGATGGCGATCCTCGGCGAGTCCGGATCCTGGCTGAAGGAACTTCGTTCCGAGTTTGTGCTTCCAGTGCTCGGCTTCCTCTGGCGCATGACCGTCGGCAGCGAGAAGTTGTCCCCAGCGGGCGAATGGGCCGGAGGGGCAACCTTACCGTCACTCTGCGTGTCCTGCAGACTCGACTGTTGCTTCTCCTCATCCTCGGACTTCTTGCTCACCTTGGGGCCCCCGAAGGCCTTCAGCCAGGCGCTCAGATTGGGCTTCTCCTTTTGACCAGCCTCGGTTTTGGGCGCTTCTGAGGATTTGCTGGCTTTACTCAGTTCCAGCAGAGCTTCGAATGGCTTTGTGGGCTCTTTGTTCGGAGTTGTTGGCGCCGAGGACTCCTCAGGCTTCACCTCCTCACTGGGACTCTCATCTTCGTCTTGGGACTTTTTGCCCGCCAGTTCCTCCAGCGTCTTCCCCAAGGCAAAGTCCTGGGTCTTGATCACAGTTCCCAGACTGAGCTTGGGAGCGCCATCGCTTGTCTCCGTGATCAGGGCGTTCTTTGGTTCTTTGACTGAGTTGGTGCCGACATGCGAGTCGCTACTCTCCTCGGTGGCCTTCCCCGCCACAACGTTCTGGATGAGATTCCCCTTCGCCTTGCCCGGCTGGAGCCTCTCGATGGTTCTCATTATGTTGCCTTTGGCCTTCACCTGCTGAGCCTGCGCCGCTTGGGCCGCCTGCTTTTCCTTGAGGGACTTCCTCTTCGCCTCCTTGGCCATCTGCTGCTTAATGTGCGGCGGAGGGGGCGGGTTCAGCAGCAGCTGCGTGGTCCCATGCTCCTTGGGCTTCGAAACGGGCATCAGAGGTGGCGGCGGTGGCGTTGGCGTCGGAGTATTCGCTATCGGCAGCGGAGTGGCCATCGAATTGATGGAACAACTCGAGCTGGACGCAGCCGTGGCGGACGTACTGCCAATGGAGTTTCCGGAGTGCATCGAATGGGGCGGAGTCCCGCAGCTGCTGCTAACACTGCTGGCCGTAGGAGCCGCCGACTCGGATTCGGACTTCATGGCCGCCTCCTTGGGATCGCTCACCAACTCGTTCAGAGCCTCGGCCAGCTTGGTTGGCACCAGCTCTGCCTTTGGAGCTGCCAGGGGCACGGGCCTTCGGAAGTCCGCTGCATCCAGCTTGTTGCCAATTCCAGAGTCGAAGTCGTCCAGGAGAGTGTAGCGGGAGGGAGAGTTACTAGCCGAGCTGAACTCCGTGAAGCGCGGCGTGTGCTCCAGCCAGCGGTTTATGTCCTTCAGGGTTTGCTCCGTCTCCACGTCGAGGGCCGCCAGGTTGGTGTTGTTGTTCGTCTGCGGCTGGCCCGCCTTTTGAGCGGCCTTCTTGTTGGCCGCTTTCTTGCCAGTGCCCTTCTCCAGGGGCTTGTCCGCCGGCTTCGGGGGCGGAGGCATTTGCTTGTCGGGCCTCTTCTTGGGTGCAGCTTTGCCAGGCGCGTCCTTTGACTTACCCGCTGCGGTGGAAGGTGCCGGCGTGGGAGCTGGCAGATCTTTGTTCGACTCTGAAACGGTAGGAGGCGGAGGTGACTTCTCCCTTGGAGGCTTCTCCTTCACTGGCTTCTCCGCCTTTTCTTCCGCCTTCTCCTTCTTTTTTGATTTTTCGCTCTGCTTCTCGGAATCTGTCTTTGAGGCCTTCTCTGGCTTCTCTGCCTTTTCCGACTGATCCTTGGATCGCTTTTGGTCCTTGCTCTTCCTGCCACGCTTACTGTCCGCAGGCTCCGGGGATCTCTCCCTTTTGTTGGATGTCTTTTTGGTCTCCCTGGAGTTTTTGGTGCTGGCCGGCTTGGTGTCCTCTGCCGGGGGCGCTAGCGAGTTGGAGGCTCGACTTCGTCGGTACTTGATCACGTCGTACTTGTCCATGAAGGGCAGAAGCATCTCCAGTTCCGCTTGCTCGGCGGCGGCCGCCGCAGCTGCTGCCGACAGAGCCGACTCCTCCTTTCCCTTCTTCCGGGACTTGTCCTTCTCCTTCTCCTTGCCTTTGTCTTTATTCTTCTCCTGGCTCTTCTTATCCTTTTCCTTTTCCTTCTTTGAACTTTCTCCCTTCTTTCCCTTTTTGGAGACGGGAGCAGTATGCTCTGGGGAGCTGGCCCTACTATTGCTAAGGGATTTAAAATCGCCATCAGACTCGCGGACTCGGTCCGCATCTTCGTCGTCTTCCTTGTGCCTGGGCACCTTCTTCACGGTAGTCAACAGCTCGGAGAGATCGTCGTTAAGGGCACTTTTTGAGTATTTCTTGTGGAGATCAACCTTGAAGGGCGACATGCTGCGCGACCGCGAGTCATCCTCGTCCCCATCCGCACCGCGCTCATCTTCCTCGTCGTCCTCCAGCTCCGCGGCCGACTCTGCCAACGCCGCAGCCGCAGTTGGCGGCAGTTGCTTCTTCACATCAACGTCGGACAGGTCGCTCTCCATCGAGTCGTCCTTTGCCTTGCGCGCAGCCTTGGACTTTCCCTTCGCCGGCCGCTTTGTCGGCGACGTTTTCACTTTCGACTCCGCCGGCACAGACTTCTTTTTTTGCGCCGCAATCGTCCGCGCAGTGGGCTTCAGGAGAGACTTGGTTTTGGCCAGCGAAAGATGTTCGTCATCGCTGGAATCGTCGCTGGGATCCGATGCAAGATCAGATTCGGGATCCGTATCGTGGACAGGCTTCTTGGCGCCCTTTTTGGTCTTTTGCTGTTGCTTTCCCGGCTTGCTGGAGGACTTTTCACTTTTAAGCTTGCGGCTTCGCTTGGAGGAAGACGAGTCCTTTTCTTTTTCCTTTTCCTTCTCTTTATCCTTGTCTTTGTCCTTGTCTTTATCTTTGTCTTTCTCCTTCTCCTTGTCCTTCTCCCTTTCCTTATCCTTCTCCTTATCCTTCGCCAATTTACCCGCTTTGCTCTTCTTGCTGAGCACAGGCGGAGGCGGTGGAGTCGGTTCCCTGTCCGCCTCCATGTCCTCGTCATCGGTGTCGGGGTCGGGGTCGGCCTTGCTCTTGGTCTTCTTTTTGCGGCGTTTGTCCTTCTCCTTGCGCTTGCGTTTCTGGACCTTTTGGGCGGCTTCCTCCCCGATGTCGCTCTGATCTTCCTCGGCGCTGCTCTCCGGCCGGCCCACCGCATCCTTTTCCGCCTCATCTTTGGATTTCTTGCTGAAGTACTTCTCCCGAAAGACGTTCATCTTGGAGTCGGCGGCGGGGTAGCTGAGGTTCGGATCGTCGTCGTCGTCGTCGGACAGATTATCGAAGTACTTCTTTGTGGCCTTCTCGAAGGCGTCCTGCAGATTATTGACCATCTCCGTGTACTCTGTGGGGATACAAGTAATGCATTATGCGAACTCTTGGGTTAGATGTCTGGTTACCATTATTGTGCCCATTGTACAATCTGCAGTTGTTGACAATCAAGCGAAAGTCGTTCCGAAACTCGCTGAACTTGTGGTACTCCCCACTGTCCAGTTTGTCCTCCATTTTCAGCAGATCCATGGGTCTGTACGGGGGGATAGGGAGATTCGTTAAAAGGTCAACACTGTAACCCAATGACCTACCTTCGGATGATGGAGTAGTAGCGAGGTGCTATGTCCTCGTCAACGGGGTCCATGAACGGCCAGGCATCTCTGTGGTTCTTGACGTAAACGAGCACCTTGTGCATCCCGATCTGCAGGACCTCCTCCGTTTCGGTGAAGCTAAGAATATTCGCATGATTGGAGGAGTTGTACGTTGAGTGGTTGTTTGTTGGTGTGGTTGCTGTGTGTGTGTTGTGGGGTTTGCTTGTTTCTGGTGTGGCTGAGGTTGGGTGGTGGTTGTTGTTGTTGTTGTTGTGGGTTAGGGAGTGGTGCGACTTTGATTTGTGTTTATTACTGTTATGGTTAGTGGAGTGATGATGGTGATGGTGGTGGTGGTGGTGGTTATGATTATTCTGATTATGGTTCGAGTTATTATGATATCCGTGCGACGTTGCTGTTGATGTTGCTGCTGTTGCCGTCGTTAAGTGGCTGTTGTTGTTGTTGTTGTGCTTATGGTTGTTGTTGTTGTTGTTAAGGCTGCTGTTGTTGTTGGTGGTGGTGGTGCTACGGTTGCTACTATTTACATGGCTACATTATCGATATTTTTTGGATTTTTTTTTTGGGAGTTTTGATGAACAACAGTCGGAATGTTTTTGGTGGCAAGGTGGCAGGTGGCAGGTGGGTACAAAAATTTACAATAACAATGATAAATATGTTAATCAATTAATCACATTATTTACAGCTCGATGGGTGAGTAGATGGAAGGAGAAAGTAGCATGCGAAAGCCCAATAACTAAACTAAAATGAGGGAGATAATGGAGAAGGATCCAAGATCACAGCAAAGACCGCCAACCCAATAATCAAAATCAACAACAGTACTAGAGGACTGCACCATGATAGAATCAAGTTAGCCACAACCAATCCACAGTTCACGGATAAAACCATGACTTCTGGTTGTAGCCACATCCCCATCAGGATGCAATCCCCCCCTTTCAGCAAGCAAAAGCTCAAAGAATGTAAGAGAAGACCAATAATCTAGGCTGTGCAGCCGACTTACTCATCGCCGCTCTTGTCCGAGTAGGCTCCACTCTGGCGCTCTGCCTTGCTGGAAGACGAGGAAGCAGAGGACCCAGCCGCGGACTTCTTCGACTTCCCCGCCGCCTCCGCTTTGCTAAGGTTGCGTTCCGCCTTGTCCGCCGACTTGCTGCTGTTCAGGACAGCCTTCTGCTTCTTGGACCGCACTGTGCTGGCGGCACTGTTGCTGCTGCTGCTGCTGCTCTGGGCCTGTTGCTCCTGCGCCTGTTGCTGCTGGGACGGCTGCTGCTGCTGCGGTTGGCTGCTGCCCGCCGGTATGAATATGTTGCCCGTCAGCGAGCTGAGGGAATTGTTTGTCTGCCGGCCCGGCAGCTTCACATTCGCCGCTGGCGCCATGGGGGGAGCTACTTCGGGTGGCTCAGGGGTCTCTGGAGGTTCTGCTGCCGGCCGACCCGCCTGCTGATGCTGCTGCTCCTCGGGCTCCTCGACTTCGCTCTCATGTGCCAACGGCGATGGCAAGTTGAGGTCAGCGATGCTCGTGGCAACGGCAATGGCAGCCGAATTGGTGTCCAGCAGCTGGAGCTGCCTGCAGAAGTTCTCCTTGTCCTCGGGACTTAGAGAGGTTTGCGGTTCCTGGGCCTCTGGCTGCTGCTGGTGGCCACAGCGTCGTCGACTACTGGCGCTGCTGTTGGTGTTGGTGTTGCTATTGCTGTTGCTGTTGCTATTGTGGTTGTTGTTGTCGTCCTCCGGGTCGTCGGCCTCAGAGGCATGCTTGTGTCGCCGGCGATGGTGATGATGATGATCTCGATCGCGATCTCTCTCCCTCTCCCGGTGGTGGCGCTTCTTCTGCTTCTTACCCGACTTTTTCTTCTTGTGGTGGTGGTGATGGTGGTGGTGATGATGGCTCTTGCTCTTCAACTCCGCGGGCGTTTGGGGCGACCGAAAGTCGTTGGCGCCTGCTCCTGAAGCCGCTAGTGATTCCTCCTGCTGCTCCGGCTCCTGCTCCTGTTGCTCTTGCGGCTGCTCGTCGTCGGCAGCTTCCTCGTCGTCGTTTTCGTTTTCTGGCGTGAGGCAGAATGTTTCCCTGTGGCACAAAAATTCGCTCGAATTAGTTGTGGTTGTTCGTCTCAGGGAGCTTGCGTATGTGGAAATACCGCTAGCCGTTGAAGTCGATTGCGATCTGGATTCGGGCGACAAATAGAACAAAGGAACAGCTATTTAATATAGACGCCACATACTAAGGAGCAAGTTATCGTGTGATGGCTAAATGGCAATGTCTGAGCACCTTCTGTCTGTGGGCATGAATGCGAATGCGCTTGAGAACTGAACAGAAAAGGAACTTAAATCATAAGGTGGTCGTATATCGAATATAATTATATCAAAAAGCATGCTTACAGATCTTTTTTGAAAACGAAATCCAACCAATTCTCCCATATAACAAACTAAATGATGGGTAAACTCAAACTAAGTGCCGCTCCTCGCTCCGATCCACCAAACTCGTCGCAGTACTCGAACACGCAGATGCTGATGGTGACGGCGATGACTTGATTTTGGTTTGGCTGACAACTGCTGACGCAACACAAATGGCAAGCGAAAAGTGTCGGGCTCAACAAATTATAAATATATACGGCAACTCAAAAGATCAATTGAAAACGTAACTCAAAGATGCTTTCGGTATGCGAGTGTAGTGGATGTGTCGGTTGGTTTCGGCTGTGTGGATGAGGTATCCGCCAGGCGGTTAGAATTTAGTTCGTTCTAACCGTCTGCGTGTGCGCTGCGACTGCTGCGGCTGTGGCTGCTGCGCCGGCAGGGCCACCCAGTGAGCGTTCTGGCGTTCCTGGTAGAGATTCTCGCGCTCGCGACGCTGGCGCTCCTCCTCCTGGCGGGCCTTTAGCTCGACGAGGTTGCGGATGCGACTGGAGTTGCGCACTTGCAATAGTCTGTAAGGAGAATGTTTATTTAAATGAAAGTCTTCCGTTTTTAGGGAATATTCCAACTTACTTTCGGCGCCTCAAACGCTCGCGCTCCCGGAAAAGCTGCGGCAGCTTGGGCAAAAAGTTCTCATCAAGTATCTGGAATAGTTCGCGCTCTTTGGCGTTGGTGGAGGTCTTAAACTTGGCCGCCAAGTTCTGCCAGTCCTCCTCGGTAAAGCAGATGACCTGCCAGACGGTGCCCTTGCTACCCGCTCCTCCCGCTGAAGCGGATGCTGCTCCGCCCGCAGCCCCAGATCCAGACGACGAGCCCGAACCAGATGCAGCTGCGCCGCTGGCCTTGTCCTCGCGATAGAGGCGCGTGCCGTAGAAATACCAGTAGCCCGAGTTCTTTGCGTCGTAGCCGAGCGGCTCCACGCGCAGACTGTCCGCCTCTAAGTTGCTGAGGATGACCTGCACATCGGCCGAGTCCAGGCGGAAGTGGCACAGGTCGTGCAGGATGTGCAGGCGCTTGCGCACGGGCAGCGACTGGAAGTCAACGTCCGTGTCGAAGTGGTTCTCGGTCTGGTGCAGGCGACACTGTTGGCGCAAGAAGCGACGCAAGAACATCTGATAGTTGCTGTGTGTGATTTCCTTGGCTACCGACTGTAGCGCATCGCAACCCTTCAGCAGGCGCACAATTAACTCGGGCACTAGGGCAACCTGATCCTCATCGCTGGTACCATCGGAGAGCAGCGCCGATTCGAGGTCCTGAACGAGGAGGAAGTTGAGTTAGCGAAGGAATTCATTGGGAAATAGTTTGCTTAGAATTATTACCTCGATATCGATGTCGGGCAGATCAAAGGCGGAACTAAACAATGAACAGAAATGCGAAATACACGGTATCTCCCACCATGATTGAATGTCTGAAACAGAAAATGAGCCTTTTTCATTGAATTGCAATTTCACAACGCCACTCAACTCACCCAATAGGCCAATGAAAGTAGAAACCATTTATGTATGCTTGCTTATTGGAAACGGTGCTCCTCTGCGGGATTGGATTCCGGACTAAAAAGAATTCCTGGTGGTGCCTCTTTGGTTGCTTGCTGTGCGGATTTCGGGCTGTTCGAACAAATCAAAGTTGTGGAGCGTTAACGAATTAGTTTCGAATTACACACAAAAGTCACCGAATGGCGGCAAAAAGTGCGATCCAGCAGAGAAGAATAAAAAAACAAAAATGTGCGCAACATGTGTGTGTGCGTGTGTTGTTGTTGTTCTGGCAGGCCCTTATGTACACAAACATCTGGCTTTATCGGTTATCACACATTGCGATGCACTCGGGAGAGAGGTCGAGCAGGAGGCGAGAGGCGAGAGACCAGTGAGTGGGTGGTAGGTCAAAAGAAAGTACACGAGCACCCCTTTCGCGCGCTTATTTTCACGAAGCGAAAATCAAAACAGACTACCGACAAGCCCGCACTGCGTGCGTGAGAGCAGGACGTCACTAGGAGCGACGACCAATCACTGCACTTTTATTTTGCAATTATAATGTGTGTAAATTACACCGCAGTTGTTGTTTTTTCTTCTTCTCCGGGCACTCCGGCCCAGCCAATCTCACGCGATTAAACATGTCTCTGTTAGTTTTGGGATCGGGTTTTCAGCTAAGGTTTTTTGGGCGCGGATGTGCGGATTTTCCAATTTCTCGATTTCCGAGCATGCGCCTTTTCTGCTTCTTCTGCCTGATGCCTGCTGGGCAGTGTGTATTTATTTTTATTAATACACGTATATATATTTTTCAGTTACGTGCGAAAATGTCATTTAACTCAAGAGACGCCCATTCGTCTTGCCCCTTTAGCTTTCCTTTCCCCCCTTAATTTCTTTTTTCACACAAACACACCAGTACACCACACACGCACACACACGTCCACTTTCGCACCAGAGGGGCTCCATCTGCCCAAAATTATTATTAATTGTTTCACAAAACCACTCTGCTATCAACAAACAGTAGGCGGGGAGGGGATGGAGTACTTTACTAACACTTTGCAATCCCGTTGGTTCCGTTAAACTGTATTTTCCGCTTTTTGCGCTCCTGCGTTAATTTTTATTTTCCTTCTGCGAGGCAGCAAACGCGGCGAAGAGCTATACAAGTATCGATAGGCTTAGCGATGGGACTGGCCGATGAGCGAATGTGGTACGATATTTTTAAAGAATTTGTTGAATAAAATTTTCTTAGATTTTCAGAAGCAGATTGCTTTAACAATTCGGGTCTTTTAACGGCTAAATAGGATTCCCTTTAAAGTTCAGACTATTACACTTGTGTAATGTAAATATGCATTTTATTTCATTATTGCTTTCCAATTCGTTTCTTCATCGTGACATCGTACCATCGATACATCGATGACTATCACCTTGTCGCTTTTCGCTTGCCATTTGGCTCTTCCCCCATCGTCCCATCCCTCACTTCTTCTTCACATTCCTTTCCCCCAAATTCCGCTCGACCAGCTGTGAATCTAACCTTACTTTTTCACCCGCCAACTACATGGCGGCCGTGCATGTGTGTGTTGTTGTTTCGCATGCCCGTGTATGCGTGTGTGCATGTCACCATGTAGGTCGCCATGTACTTTAGAGAAACTACATGGCATATTACGCGGGGAGAAGGGTCATAAATAAGAGATTAACTCAACAGCCCAAAAGCGAACAACCTTTAGAAAAAACTCTTGGGTGGTGCTGAAAGTATAGTTTTTGCAAATCACCTGCTAATTCGATTATATTAAACATTCATTACATTCGTACCGGTTTGCCTCTGGGAGTCCCACCATGTAGGTGCACCTACATGACGATTCTAGCCTACATGGTGAGACACGAGAAACTGGTTTGGGTAGACGGGGCGGACTTTACTCTCGAAAAAAGCAAACTGCGGTGGTGCATTAGAAAAACCGCCCCATGTACGCACATCAAAGTAAAACTATTAGTGCGAAACTTTTTTTATTTCTCCAAAATATTATTTAAAATAATCGAAAGGCCAACCCCTTCCAGAGATACGCATGTTTTAATGGAAATAATGTTTAAAAAATACCTTTTAAGCAGAGGATAAATTATAATGGCATTGGAAACGTGCAGTATCGCAATGCAATCAAACTTCAAAAATATTTTAACTTTTCTAGTAATTATTATAAAAATGTTTATTTGTATTGTATTGCATACAAATGAATGTAGTCTTTTTTATATTTTAGTTTTTTTCCATCTAGTGGCGTCACTCCTGATCTTTTATGAAACAACTGGAATTAATATATATTCATTAAAATAACCGATGAGGCGTGTATTTACAGGGGGCGCCGCAACTGTGGCAGCTGGATGAGCGCAGGCAGGTAGGGCTTATGATCGGGATGCTCTCTCCTGAGGAGAGTCGGTTCATGTTATGGTTCGATCTTTCGGATCTTCAGGCCGCCACTTGGGCCGCGGGGCGCCAGGTGAGTGGCGGTTCCGGGTGTGGAGTTCGTCCCCGTGGCCACCAGCTGGGGCATTATGGTGCTCCCGCCATTACTCGAGTCGCCGTTGCCGTTTCCGTTGCTGGGACTAGACAAAGATCCGTTCTGCAGACGGCGTTTCAGCACAAACCGCTTTCCCGAGGTCGTTGTTACGGCCAGCGGTGTGACCTTGGCCTCCGGCATCGGCTCCTCGTTCACGGGATCCACCTCCATCTCAGTGACGGCGTTATTTTCGTCGTGCTAAGCGAAAAGGATTTGTTAGAACTGAACATTCGGATCATCTTTTGGTTTACTTACCAACTCACTTCCCGGATCCTCATCGTCATGACCCTCCTCCTCCTCGAACTCGGCACTCTCTGTGTCTTCCGGATACTCCACCAGCTGACCATTCAGAGTGGGGAACTCGATGACGGGCAGGATGCGTCGCTGCTGTTGCTGCTTGTCGCCATCGTCCATCAGCTGCTGGATGAGATTGGCAATGTCCTCGCGCTTTTTCGTCACCGTAAGGAAATCGAACCAGTTGGTCAGCTGCTTGATGGGCAGCCTGTAGTCTCTGATGGGGTCACTGAAGAAGTGCTCCACGTACTGCAGGAGATACAGCCCGCAGTCGGTGAAGTTGTTCTGCTGGGGCACCTTGACGCAGTGGCCTGGCATGTTGTCCTTGTTGAAGACGTGCGCCTGCGCATCCGGCTTCTTCACGCGGTACTCGCAGGTGAGATAGTCTCGCAGAGTGGCTACCACCCGGCTCCTGGAGGCGCCGGCCAGCGAATCAAATATCAGGATGAGGGGTTGCTTGACGGCAGGGATTTCATCCTGTTTTCCGACCCGCGCTGGACCGCTGGATGCGGGCTGCGAAGCCGCAGAGGGTGTGCTGGCGGGCGTGCTTGCAGTACTGGCTGCAGGTTCCTTGGCTGAGTTCGAGTTCTCACTGTCGTCCGAGGCCATGTCGCTGTCATCGCCCTCCGCCTCGTCCCTCTCGCTCTCGTCGTCCGCAATCCGGCATATATTGTCTGCCGTGAGGGCGGCCGGCAGCGCAGCTCCGTCCCTCTTCGAAAGCGGGGTTATGGTTGTGTTTCCAATCTGCAGAGAAACCTTCTTCCCGCGTGGCCTCTTCAGCTGCTGGGGTTCTACGGGCTGGTTGGTGTCATACGTAACTGGACCCTTGAGGTTGGGGAAGCATATGATGGCTAGGAACCAATGGGACTGCTCGTTGATGGGCACTATGATAAAGTCCTTGTCGAAGATGTCCACCAGCTTGGTCCACTTTTGCACCCTCGCGTGGCGCTTCTGAGCCGCCGTCTGCTTCATATCGGCCGGGCGCGTTAGCGTCGTCAGTCTCTTGTAGAAGAAGGTGCTGAAGATGTGCGTCCTCTCGCGCTGAGCCTCTGGAATCAAGTTGTTGCGCAGCCAGAGCAGGTAAAAGTCGATGATGATGTCGTTGAGGTAGGACTCCTTGGTGAGGCACACATAGTCCTCCATGCGAATGCACAAGCTGCCGGTTCCCTTCGGTGGGTACATCAGGAGATTGACCTGCTCATCGGCTCTAAGCTGCCGCGAAGACGGCTGTGTGTTCTTGTCCAAGGTCTTGCGGTCCGAATCGGCTATTCGCTCGATTATCTCGGCCGCGTCTGCGGAGGATATCTCATCAAGGCAGTTGAACATGGACTTGATGGTCTCGCGAGCGGAAAGGGATATGCTGTCGAAGAGCAGGATCAAGCGACGGGTGTGCACCGTGCTGGACTTATAGGGGGTGTCTCCTAAGAGGGACGAGGGAACACATTATTAATGTTTTGCTTCAGTAAGCAAAGCACTTACGGTCATCCAGAGGATCGTCGGGCAGTTGCAGCTCGGTTTTGACGTACTGGGCGCAGGTTTTCAGCAAGTAGAGCGTGACTAGGGGCTGCGTCTTGTCCGCATTTCCAAAATGTGCGATTACCTTTATTACCTCGTGCTTGTGAATGTTAAGCGTGAACTTGTCGTCCTTGTCGTTCTCGATGTCCTGCACAATGCCGGAGATTCGGATGCCCTTGGAGGTGAAGTAGATCTGTCCCCGGGAATAAGAGAGGCACGTTATACGCAAAGTAACTGCGGCAGAGGTGGAGAACGCTTACCGGCTCGGTCAGTTCGAAGCGGAAGGGCACCAGACGCACAGAGCTGCAGGTAATAGACGTGGAAAACTTCTCCGCCTCCTGTACATCGGACAGATCAAGAACATCGTCGCGAGTGAAATCTGCATCACAGTTGAAAAAAAACACACAAAACGGATATTAACAAATGGCATTTTTCGTAATTATCTTTTTTCTCTCTTCCTCGTGGCTGTCCGTCACATTTTTTTTCCCCGTCTAGCTGCTATGCCCTTTACCTTCGTTGTTCATGCTGATGCCGGTGTGCAAGCCGGTCCGACGCTAAAATTAACTGTTTACAACTAATTAAATCAATATATTCCGGTCGAAATCCGCGAAAATATTAAAAATATTTTACACAACGATGTGTTTTCACGCATTCGCTTTGTGCTTCTCCTTCTTCTCATTTCTTTTTGCCAGGCACAAAAATGGCGTGGTTTAGGAAGCGCCCTCTGTGGGTAATCCGCGGAATCTTCAGAGCGACGGCATTGCCAGCCAAAACAACATTCCTATGCATTTAGTGTTACCACCTCGACTACATATCAAAAACAAATAATAATCTCAAATAAAAAAACTTATTTGTGTACATATGTATGTATGTATTTGTTTGAAAAAAACAAAATGGTTTACAATATTGAACCGAATTTATAAAATTAAATACCCGTGCCTCTACCTATTGGGAGCACTGAGTCTGCAGTGACTTTAAGGGCATTTTTTCTTTTTTTTATAATTCGGTTTACAATGAAGTTATTAAAGTTGTTTTCTTTTGATAAATCTCTTCTGTCCACTGATAGTCGGGTTACAATGTCTTTGAAGAATAGTCGTTGGCTCGCAGCAGCTGAAGAGCTCGGTGCGACAGTCGAATGATCGTATCGTGAAGTGGCAGTCCTAGGGACACCAAAAAGGCCAAATGGTGGCCGTTGATCTGCTGGTGGTCCCAGCACCTAATATTGGTTGAGTTGTCGAAGGTCACGCCGAACTGCTGAAGAAGATCCTGCACGGTGCACGACTCCCCCGGCAATGTGAAAGTCACTAGGACATTTTGGCCGCTGACCTGGATTATGAACATTTTGGCTCGACCCCCTTCATGGTATCGCACGTGCTGCGGGTGAACTGTATAGTTGTTGGGCGAGATTTGCTCCAGTGGCGAGGGGAGAGGTGGTCCATGACCAGCGGCAGCCCATTGGGTGAGCAGTCTGCTCAAATAGAATCCTACTCGCACCACAATGTCGATACAATTTCTCCCGAGCTCCTCGCATTGGATGATGGTGTTGCGCTCGAAGTGCACGCCGCATTGGCGAAGAAGATCCTGCACGGTGATATTCTGCCTTGGTAGGGGAAATATAATCTCTCGATGTACGCCGGTAGAGAAGACGAGCATCATGGTAGCCATGTTCCTGTCTCGTACAGGCAGAGCAGGTCGGTGGTCGACCAAGAGCTGTGTGTCAATCATATAGTTGTTGACCGAAATTCGCTGCACAGCCGAGCCTGGATCTGGTTGAATGGGATCACGTGCTGGATCAAAAATTACAGGCAGCCCGCTCCTTCGTCTGCGCAGCATTGGGGAATGTTCGCGAAGGAGTCTCGGTGCCATCTCAATCTTTGGTGCTACAGAGGTTTTAATTGTAGAATGAACGCACACTTTGACTAATTTTTACCTCCTGAGACTGGTTGATCTTCTTCAAGGAACGCCGCTGTCAGGACACTTTTCAGCTACTGTGCTTCCCGGTCCAACTTTAATGAGTTGCAACTTTTTTTGCTTCTAAGAAGCGCTTTTTCCGATAGTTATCGTTAGACGTCGATTAATAACGTTAATTCGCATTAGAGTTACCAGCCGGTTGCAATGCAGTTTTTTTTTTGTAAATCACCGAATATGGTCATTTACAGTTGTTTTCAACAGTGTGTTGAGTGGTTTGTTAGGGCTGGGATAAGCTCGATTTCAAAATCGAATTTATCGATTATTTTGCTCAATAGAAATGATCGATTCCGTTTTTGAGAGAATCTTTGATACCGCCATTTTTTTCGCCAATTAAATGACTTTGAACAAATGCAACTAAATATTTAATTAGTCTGAGATTAATGAATCTATTTATGTTGCTCATCTCTATGCTCCTTTTAAGGGCTCTGCAAATTGCAATCGTGGGTAGGTTCTTCCGAATGACCTTAGGCTTTATTAGTTTTATCTAATTGGTTTAAATACCTCTAACTCTTTAATTATATTCAAACTAGTGGTACCTGATACCCATTCTACTCTATAACTAAACATCCCCGGTCTTAAAATATCCACCATTGAAGGTATTTTATATGAAAATAAAGTTCCTACCTTTGTACAGCGGTTCCTCATCGATATCCGGGAGTGTTGGTTCACAGGAGAAAGAAGCAGAAAATTGGTGCAGAGTGCCGTTGGAATTTATTTTAGAGTTGTTTGATGGCACCTGGGGAGTATATTGAAACGCATGGTTAGACTTTTGATAAACACAAAGAACATATAAAACATATATCAAATTATATATAAAATAACAATATTTACATTTCCAGCCTCTGTCCTTCCGTCGTCGGCATCGGCCTCATCTTCGCTGCTCAGTAGCACGACGGGATCTACTTCGGCAACTCGTCTGCCACCCCGGGATCTGCCTCCACGCAGGGCCAGTGACCCTCTTCCGCGTGGACCAACGCCTACTCCCGTGCCGTAGGCAACTCCGGCCAATTGTTTATTGAATCGGGCCGCCGCCACCATTTCTCTCTTCTTTTCCACCACCACAGCTGATACCGTGGAGACTGGTTCGCTCGAGGTTGACGAGGCTGGCGAGGACGCGGCACTGGACTTCAGGATGTACGACTTTCGTTTCGGGGGCTCCGAGAAGACGCGCTTGCAGCGATCACAGCGGGCATGATCCATTCCAGTAAAGCCGCACTGCTGGCAGACTGCCAGAAATCCGTCGATCAGCTTCCGGCTTGCTGTGGGACCAGATGCATTGGTGGCAGCCGCAGCGGCTGCTGGGGTATTTGGTTGGCTGCCAGCAGAGGTACTGGCTGCCTCGCGCTTCGCCTGCTCCGCTGCTGCAGTTGCCTGGGCGAAGGCAGGCGAGACACTCGTCGACGAATTGTTGGAAGCTCCAGCGGACTGGGAGGTGTTTTCGGGTTGGCGGTTCATCTGGAGACTCTCCTCAGCCCGGGATATCAGTTCGCTGGCCGATTCGTTCACAGAGAATCCCACTGTGACCACAAAGTCCACATTGGCACCCCGGTGCTCCACACACTGAATGGTGGTGGTGTTGTCGAAGGACACTCCGACTTGCTCGAGGAGATCCTGCACGGTGCAGGACTCCCGTGGTAAAGTAAAGGTTATCAGTCGTTGTTCGCCGCTGGCCAGGATGACCAACATTTTCGCACTGTTCTTGTCCCGGTCAGCTATAGGCTGGCCAGCTCGGTTGTTGAGCACGTGCTGCGAGTGTATTTCGTAGTTGTTGTGCGAGGTTTGCTGCACAGAAGAGCCTTGTTGGCTGGATGGCGGTGGAGCAGGGGCGGGAACGGGGGCTACGACAGCTCGTTGAGGTTGCATGATCCTCGTTCCGAGCGACAGAGGCGATTGCGGCAGTTTGGACGCCGGACGTATCAGAGTTCCAGCCGCAGATGGCCTCAAAGGCGTAAGTCCTGGGCTGGCTCCAGCCACCGGTGCCGTGGAGGCTGCTCGCTTCTTATACTCTGCCAAGGACATACTGGAGCCGCTGGCGGAGCGCACCACTTGACTAGTGTTCTGCACCACCTGCTGTTGCTGCTGCGGCTGATCGTCTTCCTGGGTGGCATTGTTTCCAGGATAAAACGTGGTTAGGGTGGTTCCCGAACCAATCTGCATGGGCTGCATTTGGAGGGGGGCGACTGGTTGAATAGGAGGAGGGGGCTTTTGCTGTTGCTTCTTCAGCACAGCCGCTTGAATCGTCTCCTCCACGTCCATCCCAATAGTGCCGGATGGCTGGGTCGGAGCATTGGTGGTGGCTGCAGGACTTGCAACTGGGGCTGGCACTGCTGAGCTCAAGGAGACCGGAGCTCTATACCGGATCGGGGACTGTCGCATCATTAACATGTGTTGTTGCTGCTGCTGCTGCTGACCTCCATCGGTGACCATATGCGTGCGGTAGATGTGACGAGGCTGCTGCTGCAGCTGCTGTTGCTGGCCCTGACCGACGTTCGTGCTAATGGTGATTTGCTTCATTGGCGCCTGGGTCACAATCTGCATAGTTTGACCCTCGGCCCCGCTGGCCTGCGCCACCACAAACTGGGCCCGGGGTCTCACGCCTGTGGGCCGCATTCCACGGACGATTCCCCCAGCCACTCCTCCCGCTGCTCCTCCTCTGGGTCGCACTTGTCTCACGATAGCTGTGGGGGTCAGAGTCGGCCTGGTAGTAATTAACGTTCCTGGTCTGGTCAGAACCGCTCCACCTCGCGGGGACTTCGCCCTGAACGAGGCGCGAACTAGCTGAGTTCCACCTCCAGCGACGGAAGTGGCCACGAGCTGAGGTTGCTGGGCTACCAGCTGCTGCTGCTGCTGTTGCGGCCCCTGAGTCTGCTGCTGTGGTTGCTGCTGCGGCACTTTCTGAACTTGCAACTGCTGGTAGACGACGTTTTGGGTCTGCTGCGGCACCACACGGGTCTGAACTAGGTGAGCCGTCTGCGCCGTGGCCTGCAGTTGCATCTGCTGCTGTTGCTGGACATGCTGCTGTTGCACTTGCTGCTGCTGGACGTGCTGCTGGAGGACGTGCTGTTGCTGCTGCTGTTGCGGGGACGTGGCGTAAACGACACGGTTGTTATACGGGTGAATGGCGGTGGCCTGACGCATAATAAGTTCCTGATGCTGCGGAGTTTGTATCAGAACTGGCTGCTGTTGAACAATGACGTGTGTGTTGTTTAACATCTAAGGGTTGGAAAAAATTTCGGTGTTAATACTAGAAAAGCATGGCCTACTTGACTTCAAAGCTTACGCTGATGGGCCTCTGTTGCTGGGGCGTTGTTGTCATGCGATAGACAATCTGTTGATGCTGCTGCGGCTGCTGTTGAGGCTGGCTGGGAGATGTCTGGAGCTGCAAGGTTTGCGTCGGCTGCGCTTGCTGATGCTGCTGCGGGGGGGTCTGCAGCAACTGGGGGGGCTGTGGGCTGGCCTGAACCTGGTAGGAGGGCGCGTGCTGCTGGTACTGCTGCTGCTGTTGCTGCTGGAGCACCTGCTGCTGCTTCTTCTGCTGCTGCTGCTGCATGTGCTGGACAATCGCATTCGACTGCAGGACTTGCTCGGAGGTGTAATAAATCTGTTGCGTGTGCTGGAGGGCGGGCGGCTGCGGCTGATGCTGAACGTACTGCTGTTGCTGCTGCTCCAAGTGAAGTTGTTGCTGCTGCTGCTGTTGCTGTTGCGCATCCTGCTGTTGCTGGTAGTGGACCTGCTGCACTTGGTGCTGCTGATGGTGCATTACAACTTGCTGTTGTTGCTGCTGCTGCTGTTGCTGTTGTTGCTGCTGCTGCTGTTGTTGGTGTTGCTGCTGCTGTTGGGCAACATCGTCGCCCCCTATGATATGGTATGTCGGTGCAGGAGGGGGCTGGGCCTGTTGATATTGGGCCGGGGCTGCTGTTTGGTACACTACTTGCTGTTGATCGTTAAAAACCAGTTGCTGGTCATCCTGTAGAACCAGCGACTACAATTTAAACAGAAATTAAACAAGAATTAATTAAAAATTGTTTCTGACATGAAGGTAGACTGATACTACTCACCCCCACCTCGTCTTGGGGCACTTGCACTACCTGCAGATCCGAGTAAACGGGCTCTTCGATGGGAACAATATACTGCTCCATTTCTCGCTGGCTAAAAACAAACAGAAATAGTTATAATTTATCATACATCTGAAGTTAGATTTAATTATTTTTAACTTTAAAATTTGATATTTTCTCTGAGTCTTTTTTCCAGACACCCAAATGCATCGGAATTATTAAAGTAATTATAAACAAAGTCTGGTAAAATTATTTAAAATAAAGCATCATGCGTTAACAAGTGGAATTTCAATTCTAGTACACGTATATCTTCATGATATATTTTTAACACAAATTTAAAGAAATTTCTTCACAATATATACGGACACCATTGTTAGGCCACCCTCGCCACACATTCGCGTCCTTTAAAAATTATCTTATAACTAAAAACCCAACTAGGTTTAACCACATGAGATGCATTTATCGTACGATCTCAATTTCTCACATAGTTGCCTAATTTAAGGTGCATTTTATTATACAATTACGAGGCATTTCTTGTGCCTCATTTTTTGGCTATTTGTGGACACACACACACACCTCCGGACTTTCCAAAAACGCAACTGCGTGGGAGCCGCTCGTTTCCTCTATCGTTTTGTATTCCTTCGGGAGTTAAAACATTCTAAGACAGTTCTTTTAAATACACTTTCAAAAGCATTTAAGCATAGTTTTGCGTGAAAATTCCGACTTTCTTCGCGTTTTATTAAAACAGGCAGAATTAAATATGGCGTTTGCAGGGCAGCATTTCCAACACTCGCGACTGGCAATGCCAACAAAGAAGCGCGAGCGCCCTCTACCGGCAGACATCCACGACAGCTGTTTACAAACACTTTGCTGCGTTGTGTTTTGTGGCGCTAGTTTATCGAAGTGTGCCTTGCACCCTCTTCTTCGTCTAATGTTTAGTGGTCCCTCTGTTTGGCATGTAGCCTGAATAAAGGGACCTCTATTCGAGCAGACCACTGGAGTTGCACTAAATTCCATTAATTTTCGCGAACAACTCTGCATTTTGCCGTTTGACTTGATTTTTGGCGACTTCGTGAAGTTTTGAAGTAAAAGTTTGGGAATAGCGAATTTTTTTTTGATAATTGATATCGCGGGTATGGTCACTGGGTGTTTTGTTGTTAGCATCGCGCTCTTCCGAATTGGGGGAAGAAGAAGATCCAACAACAACAACAGTGGGATAAGGGGTGGAAGAAAATCGATAGACTAAAACGATAGATAGTTGACATTTAAATATTTAATCAAAGGGTTTTTATAATATTTAACATGTCAACAGGATGCTTCTGTTTCTAAAAATGTATGATTTCAAAATACAATTTATTTGCTTTTTTTTGGTAATCGAAATCTCATATTGGATTTGTCCACCTCTAATTCCGTAGTTGTTATTTTCACAACAATGTCCAAAATATTTACGCCTACAAATCAAATTCGCCTCACAAACGTCGCAATAGTGCGACTGAAAAAAGGAGGTAAGCGGTTTGAGATAGCCTGCTACAAAAACAAGGTCCTTTCCTGGCGAAACAACAGGTAAACCTCTGATTCCTAGCACGTGTTCCCTTAAAACTCAAAAACATTAAAATTCTTATTGTCTAGTGAAAAGGACATCGATGAGGTTCTGCAGACGCACACCGTGTTTACAAATGTCTCCAAAGGACAGGCAGCCAAGAAGGATGAGTTGCAGAAGGCCTTTAATAAAACGGATGAAACTGAGATTTGCAAAGAAATCCTGAGCAAGGGGGAGCTGCAGGTTTCGGAGAAAGAACGCCAGAGTGTCCTAGATACGCAACTAAACAGCATCGTGAACAGCGTGGCTGCCTTGTGTGTCAATCCTGAAACCAGGCGTCCTTACCCGGCTTCCATCATTGAAAAATCCCTGAAGGATGCACACTTCTCCGTGAAGATGAACAAGAACACAAAACAAAACACACTGGAAGCCATAAAAATGCTCCGAGAGCATCTGCCCATCGAAAGATCCCGAATGAAGCTCCGAGTTAGCTTTGCTGGTAAAGAGGGTGGAGGCAAATTAAAAGAGTCAGTGGTGAAGCTTGCCAACGCGGTGGAGCACGAGGAATGGGAGGAGTCCACACTTCACCTGACCCTGCTGATAGACCCTGGCCAATACCGCGTCATAGATGAGCTGGTCAGGAACGAAACCAAGGGCAAGGGCCTGCTAGAGCTACTCGAACTCAAGGAGGTCGTGGAGAGCGAAGAACTCTTTTAGAAATACTTGGATTTCGAATGCAATTGTTTTCTGTGTACATTTGTTTATATTTATGTGAAACATAAAGAATATAATTTAAACAAGAGGTTTAAATTCAAGGGCTGAACAAAATGATTACTTATTCTACCAGATTACAAGACACGCCAAACAATCAGGTCAGAGTTTCAGTGTGATTATTTAAATAGAACAGGACCGAGATTATAACAATATATACTGCAAAATTTTAAAAAAATAGTCAGCTGTCCAGCTTCACTTCCGCTTCTTCAGGTTCTCAAAGCGACGCGATAGCTCGTCGAAATCGATCTCGTCGTCATCGTCCTTTTTGGCTGGTCCTGCGGGCGGTATGTCCGGCAAATCGGGCAAGTCATTGGGAACGTTGGGCAGCGATGGAAAGTCTAGCGCTGGCGGGGCACTGGGCGGAGTCGGATTACCCGGTGGCAGCTTGAATCGTGGTTGAGGTTTCGGTTTGTTGGCATTCTAAATTGGGAAACAACATAAATTAGTTATATGCAGATATGTCCTACTTATTGAACCAATTTTTTTCTGATTAGAAATAATTTTAAGTAAAAAGTGTATGGTCAAATCAACGAAATATCAGAAAAAGCGATTGGCATTAGGGTTTCGGGTTCTTTAGATGCTGGATAGGGTTAATATCCCGGAGCCTGACCTGCAGATTTACGGGATTAATCGAGGTGTAACGCGGCGGCGGATCATTTTCGGGTTTGGGGCGCTGTCAAGCAAAATTAAAAGAATAAAATGAAAATAAAAATAATAAAATTGCCATCAATAAACAAATAGCTACATCAACCAATTCACAATGATAACAGGAGTGCGGAGGGTGGTCAGCTAACTATGAATCACTTGGATGACTGGACTTACACGCACAGTGGGCCATTGACGTCACACAGATTGAAAGAACAACATACATAGGCGAAGAATAGAACCCAAGAGCCGTATTCGTTTGTTTAGTGGATGTTGCAGAACGATAAGCGAGTTAGTTTCGTATTAGAAGAGTTCTACACAGAGATAACCTACCAAAATGTTCTCATCCGGGCTGCCGGAGCCATCCGAAATGTTCACTTCGTGCTGTAATCGCCCAAGAATCATGCACAAAATACATGCGAAAACTTAAAAATACATCGATATAGGAAACGGGCTTTATAAAGCTGCAGTCAGAGTCTTGATATGAAAAAGACTACAAATTATGACTATTATCTTAGAAGCTACTTGACTTTCTGACTGCATCTGTAAAAGCCACTTATGGTCGCTAGCATAAGCCTATAGTGTTTCGGATATTTACATTGATGAAGTTGGTGTTCAGATCCTTCTCCTCGGCACACTTCGCCGGTAGCACGTGTGGTTGCGGCGGCTGGTTGGGCGGAATATTGTAGGCAAATGGTGGAGGCGGTTGTGCCGGTGCAGCGCAAGCAGCCCCACCTCCGCCTCCTGCACCGCCACCGAATGGTGGGTAGTTGAAAGGCTTATTGGTTGGTGGCACTGGCATGCTGGGAAGTGGTGGCACCGTCGGATAACCGATAAAGCCCATTTGAGGCGGCGGTGCGCCACCTCCTCCTCCACTGAGGTTGTTCCTATCCGATAGATCAATCAGGTACGGCGGATTGGGATCTTCTTCCTGCATCACCTGTGGATCGGGCTCGTACTCGATGTTGTAGTTTTTGGCAATGGCAATTAGGTAGTTCTCCACCAGCAACTTAGGGGGCGCCTGCAGCGTTAGCTTGTGCATCAGCTTCTCGGAAACCTGGTGGTCTCCAGTAGCGTTGCGATTGTTTTCTCCGAACTGCTGTCCGTACTTGGCCACAAATATGTCCGAGATGATCTTGAGCTCCGAAATGTCGCTCTGCAGACGAGGACAAACCCACACTAGACTGGCAACGGGCTCGGCTATGCCCACGTCCAGTTCCTTCATTTGGGTGATGAGCCCGAATCTGGCCAGCAACAAGTCGCAGTACATCTCCACCATCTCCATGGCCTCCACCAAGTAGTCCTCCCTGCACAAGGCTGTTTAGCAAAATGATATTTCTAAAGGACATTGGTTCACATACCTGATAATGTGTTCTACCCGAATCCTAGCTCTTTCGATTTTTCCAGCAGACAGATAATCTGCGATTTCTTTCCGGGACTTTTGCGTCAGCTCCGCCTTCTTCTTTTCGAGCAATTTTAGGCGATTTAGAGACAACCGAAGGTTTGTCTTCAGTTTGTTGTAGTTGGGGCCGCTGGAGAACATCTTGGCGAGTTAATTAACCTAGCTAGGCAGCCGATTCTCTAATGAAAACAATGAAATTCTGTCTGGTGATTCATTTATTGGGGAAAAACAATTGTTTTGTGACGTCACAGACCAATCGACGATAAATGGTCATCGAGAGTCAGTGTTGTGTTATACACAATTTTTTTAAAAGAAATAGTTTTTATTTTTTTAACTTTAATATATAGTTTTTTTTTCAATTAAATTAATAGTTTATCCAAAGAAATGAATAAAATCATTTACTTTGATGTTTCACAAATTTAAAAACTTAAAAACGAAGCAGTAAAATTAGAAACAAATTCAGAAACAAAATAAATATATTTTTAAAAATTAAATTTTTTTACATCAATCTTTAACAAGAATTTTTCATCTTTAAAAAATTTCAAATTGGACAACCGAACGATGTTGTATTCCCGAATGCGTTTACCCACACTGCCAATTAAGCGATGTTATTTCAAATCTGGTTTCTCGAGCTTTATTCGTTGAATTTTCGGTAACACAAAAACCTTTAACAATATCCAGTTTACAATTTGCCTTTTCATTCCAATCCTTTATGCCAATCCGCCGCCGTGCAGTTGTGTTTGGCGCTCGCCGGCCGATAAACTCGAGGCTCTCTGCAAATCGCCAAACACAAAAACAAAGTAGCGGGCGCATTATCCTCGATCCCGCGATTGTATAGCGGTATTACGCGCAATAAATTATGTATGTGTTTGGGTGTTCAGGGAGGGATGTGTGGGAATGTGTTTACGTGTAGGGGAGAGCCTCTGAGAGTGGCCTCAAACTAAACTTGAACATAATCATCGATTCGGGTGGCTGCCTACAGGTGGGGAGGCGCAGGCGGCGATTCGGGGCACTCCTCCGTCTCTGTTTCACAAGGACACGCCTCAAGCTCGTCGATCATGCAGCCTTCCTCCTCGCAAATATCCTTGGACCTAGCCGATGGCTCCGACTCAGCATCCCGGTAGCCGGCGTAGACCTCTGCGCGCTGCTTGATGATCTCCTGGATGATGGCCGTAAGGATCTCTCTCGAATCGACAATGTGTCCCACTTCCTCGGCCACTTCGGCAGACAGCCAAGGACAGATGCTCTTCATCAGCTGCTCCTTCTTGACGGCGTCGCTGGCTGGTTCTATGTTTTCGAGGACCTCCGGCACCAAGCTGGCAATGTGGCCCTGGAGCAACTTGGCCGCCGTCACGCTCTTCTGCATCTCCTCGTCCAGCTCCTTGGCAATGGCATCTTGGCGCAGGCGCCGCTCCTTCTCGGCCTGCAGGCGCATTTCCTCGGCCTCCAAGCGGCGTAGTTCAGCCAACTCGGCCTCCCGTTGGGCCAGGAATCTGGAGGATAATTCGATAAATTAATCACCAGCATTTGGTTTTGGGTAACAGGATTTGCACCACCGATTTAAAACTGTCTATCTTTGCAGGACGGAAACTACTTACTCTTCCTGTTTGCGCCTCAGACTGGCCAGCTCCATCTCGTGCGCCACCTCCAGCATGCTCTGCTCGATGCAAGCATCAACCAGGACATCAATGATGGGCTGTGCCTCGGCATCGAAGTGGAAGAGCTCGCCGTCGCCGATTTCGGTGCTCGCATCCACGCCAACCTTGGCGGGAACGAACGGAGGCGTCGGCGGCTTCTCCAGGAACAAATCTGTCTGCGTGTCCACGTTGAACTCGGGCGGACGCTGCACTAGCTTTTCGAGGTACTTCTCTGTCTGAATGTTCTCGTGTTTGCGGCCCTTGACTGGCGGAGGTGTGCCCAGGACGTTTCTCTGGTTGCGGCACTGCACTGTCCGTTTGCGCAGCATATTGCGGCGCCTCAACTCGGCGGCCTTGTCGAAGGGATCCACATCCGTCTGGCGGCAGAGTGGAAAGTGGATTAGTTCATGCCGGGTCAGGGCTGGCAGTGGATCCAGCTGGGAGTATACTTACCACCAAGGAGGAGTTGCCAAAGTTGCTGCCCTTTATGACGCGACGGTCGTACATAACGTTTTTGTATGGCTCCGGCGGCGGCACGATGGGTCTGCGGAGGAGAAAAGGAGCACAGGGATGGCAGGTGAGACCCATCAATTAGTGAACCTCGACCCAGTTCAAAAAAATCCACACAAAGAGAAATATTTTAACTAATAATGTTAAGTAGTTGCTTATAACTCTTTGTTAAGATTTTCTTAAAAAAATAAATTTATAACCAGACTGTTTAGTTGAATTTTAATTAAATTGTTAATAGATAATAGAAAAATAGTTGAATTAAGGTTGAGTTTTAGTTTTCTTAAATTTTCCATTTCTTTGTTGATAAAAGTATTACTATTATTCATTAATATTAGAACCTCTTGAATAAAAACAAATTCTTAGTGTTCTTCAGTTTTAGAGTCTAAAATTCAGTCTAAAATCTTTTTGTTAAAAAAATCACTCTTTTTGAATACTGTATAGATCAAATTTGTTAAAAAAAAGTTTTAAAAAATGAGAAGAAAACATGTTTTTAACATTTTTTTACTGATTAGTTTAAGGTTATTTTTTCTGATAATACAAGATGAGAAAACCTGATGAAACATGTTTTTTTATAATTTTAAATTTAAGGTTATGTTGTAGTTCTCTTAAATATCACTTCTCGTTTGGTTTTTATTGTTAACTTTTGAACCTTTTGAAGATGTCTAATTTCTCAGTGCTCTTTTCTTTCCATTCTAGACCCAAATCTGTTGCACTTGCTCAGCGATAAACATCAAATTTGTGCATTTCTCAACGCCCTCGCAGTCCGCTTGTCAAGTCATCTCCGATTCGAATCAATTTCCCCAAAGTTCACTACACTTTTGGGTCAAATGCGAGCTCCGAGTTAAAGCTTTAAAGTTACGCGAGTCCACTCCGCCGCGGCTGGGTAATTTATGACTTGCTAATTTGTACATAGAGGGAAGCTAACATTTTTCCCGCATATATGTGTGTATGTACATATGTAGTACATATGTGGAGGAGCTAACATTGCCAGACATTGCACTAGAAGAACTTGGCACCTGAACTCGTGACCTATGCAAATTTTCAGCTACTTTTGGCCTCAAACAGGAAGTCACATTGAAGTTGTTCGCGAATGTCTAACAGCGGTTCTCTGGGTCTGGGTCTGAAGTCCAAAGCAATCACTTGGAACGAGGAGCCTCTGGTCAGGCCTGCCAACTCGTATTACTCACAGGACACGCGGAGTTCCCTCCGCGACTGGCGAAATCTAGGGAAATGGCTTCTTTACGGCCCTCTAATTTCGCCTTTGAATGATATTTCATATTATTCTTCAATAGTAAAAAGGAGGTCCCTTTTTGGGAGGGTGCCCATTTAGCAGAATAGCTTCCATTTATGGGATCCATCATAGGTGTCCTGATGGCCCCTTTGGTGTGGTAATTGAACTTAATTTCTCTCAATTTGTGGCACTATTTTTCGCCGTTTTCCCCCCATTGTTGTTGTTTACGAAATCTTGATTTAAATTATTTAAGCCCGCTCTGGGAATATGGGATATTCTCCGCTGGCACGACATGTTTGGGGTCCTTTTTGTCCTCGCGGCTCGCATGTCCCCTTATGCAAGCCAAACGAGTCTTCCATTCGAGAATGCGCTAAATAAATTAATCAAGCCGTTCAGGGAATTTAAAATCGAATGTCCGAATGTCTGAATGGGTGAATGGATGAATGGTATTGGAAAAGGTATTCCTTTCTAATTGATTTGTTGGACTGTCAATCAATAATTGACGGGGCAGGAATGTGGGGCTTGAAAGGGTGGAGCTATTTAATTTAGATCTTGGATAGAACCTAGAGAGATATTACCTCATTTTGCCTTACAGATTATAGAATGTTTTTTGAACTAAATAATTTTTGAAATATATTTTAAATAAACCCCTTTATTTTAGCTTTAAAATCCCTGATAATTAAGGACATTTCGCATTTTCTAATTGAATTGTAAAGTGTCAATCGATAAAGGTTGTCAGGTTGTCCGGCGTGAGGGGCCCGTGGAACTGGTTTCATTTCCACTCCTGGCCGGCTATATATTTCTCATTTGAATTTATGGTAATATATTTTGGCCCACTTTGGCGTGGTCAGTCGGGTGGCCCTGTCACCCCTATTTCGCACTGCCCCCTTTTGGGGGGTTGGCCTTTTTATTACCTTTTCTCGCCACTACCGATGTTGTTGGCCCGACGCTGCTGCAATTGTTGTTGGAACTGCGCCTTGGTGATGTGTAGCCCGCCGGCGAGGGATTGGGAGTCGTTGGAGGACTTGGAGGCCGCTGCCGCTGCTGCGCCGGCTGCTAAGGCCGCCGTGGCACGCACTCCGTTCAGGCGGGTGGCGGCCACCTTGTGCTCCTTGGCGTCGCCCGCCGGCTGGTCCTTGCTGTAGTAGCTCTGCAGGATCATGGGATACGAGGAGTAGGCGTAGACATGCCTCCTCAACATCGTGGCGGGAATCATTTGGAGCTCGTGCGGTGGTGGCAGGAAGATGCCCTGCGGCACCGTCGTCTCGAATCGCGGGCGTTGCGCCATTGCAGAGTCCATCCAGGCACCGGAACTGGAGCTGTAGCTTCCTCCCCCTCCGCCGAAGTTCTCCTCCGGCGCCAAAAAGCGCAACTTCTGGCTCAGCTCATCGGCGAAGCTGCGCACCTCCTGGGTGCTGCGGGAGAAGTGCAGTCGAGCCGGATCCCGGCTGGGCTCTACATGATCATCCCCGCTGTCCTTGGCGACTTCCTGCCGACGTATGGGACGCACGATGGCCTGCTGGGGTCGATTGGGAAACGAGTCGAGTTCCTGCTCCTCCGAAGGATGATGACGCAGCACCGAGAAGGCGTTCGTCACCACGTGCTGGAAATTGTAGGGGCTCTGATAGCGCTGGACGTTGTAGGAGTTGGAGTTCGAGTTCGAATAAGAGTTGCTTATAGAGTTGGAGATCCTTCCTGGTGCGTAGGGATAGCTGCTGGCAAAGGAGAAGTTCTGCGAGCGCTCCGGTCTATTGTCGATAGAGTGGACAGGATCTTGTTCAGGATGTGAAAGTGCTGGGTGCTGTGGCTGTTGCTGTTGCTGCTCCTGCTGCGTCTCTGGCATGGTCTCCGCTTCGTCCTCGGTTATCCCTGC